ATTATCTATCTAAATGATACCTACTAAATTAGCAGAACCTTAAACTTGTTAAATGATTGGAAAACAACAACAGTATTTAGCAGTAGAAAAGTGTTCTTACCTGACAAGTGTAGCTGGAACAACAGGATTCTTGTTACTACATCCTTTAAGGCTACCAGAGAGGGTAACAAAATTCAGTGTGTTTATAAATAATACCTGAGTTGCCTAGAGAGAAAAAAGACCACAAACTTTTAAAATGCCTTACTCATTACTTATAATTCCACAGACCTAGAGAACTATTCTATCTATAAAGTATCCAGGGAGTCTTCTCCTACTATGCTCCTCCTTAAGAACTCAGTTACCACTTTGCTCTTCTTTCCTCCTTTCCATTTATCCTCCTTCACTTCTGAGGGTCAAGTTTTAAAAATTATGGAAGCTGATAGTTTAAATTAACTTTAAAAATCCACAATGTTAAGCTGGATTAGAAAACATCAATTTAAACAACATAAAATAGTATTTTAAAAAAACTATCTTCAGTAAAAAAAAAATCTCAAAATTCTCTTTTTTATAGATAAAGCTATAAAACTTTTTTACAGATTAATTTCTAAGACATTATATTTACTGACCTTTGGGTCTTTCTGATTAAGAGTTACTGCCAGGGTAAGGCCATCTCTTGAAAAGGCAGAAATTAGAGCTCCTCTTGACTTTACTGATTCACATTTAGGAATTAGACTGCAGAGAAAACAGTCTTGTTGTGCCCAATGAACATGATATGGCAATGATCTAAGAAATTAATGAAATAAATTCAAACAGAAACTCTTAAATAGACAGCTCATTAAAAAAAAAAAATTAAAGCGTTCACCTAAGTTCCAACATGTGCACATATACAGACAGGACCTCTTAGTGACAATTCAGAATTTCATTCAGAGCACTAAAGAGGAGTTACCAGTTAGTTAAACAAGCTCAGTATCAAGAGTTTTGTTAGTAATGCCATGTTCCTTAGCCAACTCCAAATACATCTGCTTCCACTAACAGTTTAGATGCACATACCTACACAAAAGCAAGAATTTTTACAAGGATTAAAAAGGTGCAGAAGAGAGAACTGAGGGCGGTGGCAATGTTCTGTATCTTGACTTAGTGGTGGTTATACAGCTATACATACATATATATATCAAAATCCATCTAGGGTCATACACTTACAATTTGTTCATTTTACTTTATGTAAAATATACCTCAATAAAGTACTGTTAGCAAGAGTGGAGAAACCCCGAGAGTATGGCCCCCTGACACCCTTAGCTCAGTACTTAAGTCACTCCTGAGGTTTACCCTTCAGCCAAAGATTAGACAGCTCCATAAAACAAAACGAGACTAATGGGGCACACCAGCCCAGGGACAAGGACTAGAAGGTAGGAGGGGACAGGTCGAGAAGGGAGAGTGTTGACATGTCGTGGGGTTGTTAATTAATGTCATAAAACAATATGTGTACTAACTGTTTAATGAGAAACTATTTGTTTTGGAAACCTT